TCGCCCCTAAAGGGCCTGGATCCATATTTTTTCTGCGTACTAAATATTTACTAAGATTATTAGGTTCACTAATCGCAGCTATTTCATCAGAATTCGATAGGAAACTCTGTTCGCTGCCTTATATATTTTTTTCGTCATTTCCACCAGCTACGGGATTTGATATAGCCTCCGATTTCAGACGCTCAAGCTCACTAACCAGTGAAGCCAACTTCTGATCTAGTTCGGTTATTTTAGATTTGAGGGATAATATCTCAGAATCTTTTTTGGTAGAATCTTTCTGAACCGAAATCATATCTTTCTGGGCCGAAGATAACTTACCTTCCAATATTTTTTTCATAGACCGAAGTGCTGTAATTTCCTTGGATTTTATATCAATCTCGGATTTAGAATTGGTAAGAGAAATAGATTTGCTAGCATTTTCAAACAGCAAGTTTTGATTCTCGGTAACAACCTCCTCTAGTTTTTTACTCCACTTCTTTCTATCCCGATCCCATTTATTCCTCTCCTGGTTAAAATCTTTTTCTTGTTTTTTGTATTTATCCCGCAATTTAGCATTATCTGAAAGAATCTCAGAAGAATCTTGGAGGACATCATATAATTCTTTCTTAAGATCTATCGTATTAGCCATATTAAATAAAAAGAAATATTATAGGAAATATCAAAATATGGGACATATATATGACCTATCTAGTAATGTTATCGAATAAATTATACTTTTAATATAATTCAACAATAATAGATAATTACCGGTTTTTTTAGAAAATTATTGAATATTAAGTATGTAAATATCTATAATTACTAATCATTTTTTAAAATAAGAGATATAGGTATATTTTAGCGTTTCCAATAATTTTCGATAATTTTTTATAATTATAGAAGAATGGAACATATAACTGTAGAGTATTATCGCGCCGGTACTCCTTATATATCACCAGAAGGTATTGAGGAAATCATTCAATCACGAGGAACAGTTAAAAATGCATGCAGGGTGATGGCTGATAGATATAGTACTTCAACTCGTAGAATATATGAAATTTGGAAAAGACATGCTGAGGGAATACCCTTGCGCAAACAGCAACCAATACATAGTGTTGTTTCTTCCGAAATAATACCCGAAAATAATACTTCGGATAGAAAGCCAAGGAAAAGAAAACCAGGATCTGGTTCCAAATCTGATTCAGTCAATATTCCAATAAAAAAAGTAGGCTCAGAGAGCCATGATTCGAAGAATCGTCTAATGGCCTGCTCTGTAATAGATGGAATCGATAACTTACAGGTTAGGCTTACACAAAATCGCAGAGAAAGAGAAGAAGCAAAACGTGAGACGAAAAGAGTCTTAGATCCCAACTAATCTATTTTTATGGACCCGTAGTTTTTTATTAAGCTCAATTAATTCAGTATTGGATGCGAGTACCTCATATAGCGATTTTTCCAGCTCCTCATAGCTCATGCGTTTTTTTTTAATGTCGAATCATCAGAATCTAGAGGTAGGGTCTCATCCCCATCTATATCCTGGGAAATTTGATCGGATACTAAAGGCTTATCATTCTGAGATGTGGTAGTGCAATTTACTTCAAGTTTATTCTTGACTTTGTGCATAGTTACCGAAATAATGTGATCCTTTCCATTAAACGGAATCTTCAATTCATCTTTGCCTCAATCTATAACGCATTTATATTTTTTGAGAAGCGGATTTGGAAATATCAATGTCGGTTTAGGAGGTCGTACAACAACAAAATCTTCACGTATAATAAAACCTGGAGGAAATGTTATTGGAAAATTACGAGCCATGCCGATAGATTCCGTTGGGACTGTAGCAACGCCGCTAAGATCATATTTTTCTGATTTATCAATTGGCCAATTTACACGTTTAACGATATCTTCTGATACAATTGGAGATTCAGCGCCACTATCTAAAACCAATGCTGGAATTTTTAGGCATTTGATTTTCACTGGTATAGTTGCAAGGCTTGTGATGGGTTCCTTTCTTCGAACAAAGTCAATCTCCATAGGATCATTCAATATCTCATCTTCCCCATCAGACTCCTGTATTTCTGAGACTGGATCTCGATAATTTGTAAAATCAGGTCTTGTAACAGATAAATTTGTGTTATTAATATTGTTTCTAATTGTTTTTATAACCTCTGGATCATTAAACATTGCTAGAATAATTTCTCGAATTTG